ATTATCCTGTCTAACTTTTTCTAAGTGTCTGAAGACGTTGGGAACTAGATTAAGATAATGAATTGGATCTGGGCACTGGGGGGCAGGTCAACAGCTAAACCTTCCCCACTCCAACAGGGGTGCTCCCAGTCCAAGACTCTCTTCACCAGCCATGGCCTCTAGCTGAGAAGCCCTGCCGCCACCCCCCCTACCCTGCCCCCTGTGTGTCCTCTGACAAAGTGTGTCCTCTGGTGAATCCATTGCTTGACTATTTACTGGTGGGCATGGAGTGGGGCTGTAACCACATAGGATCATATAGTCTTGGATCAACAACACACCCACTACTATTCTTCAAATGCTTGGATTTCCTAACTACACCGTGTTAGCAGGACCAAGTTTTCACGTCTGGGCTCCCCCACCCACGCACAATCCAAGACCCAGAATAGGGCGGAGGGGACCCGGATCCCGGTGGTGCTGGGGCTCAGGACCCTTAGCACCCTGAGCTGGAGCTCCCGGAACTCCTTCCCGACCTTGGGCAGGGAGAAAGGGGAGCATCAGGAGCCATGCTTAAATGAGGGGTGACCGGCTGGTGAGGAGGCAGCCTAGGGACGTCTGCTGCACAAGCTAGGCCCACACCCATCGCCTCGTCCCAAGCTCCCAGTCCCTCTCGCAGAGGCCCTGGCTTCTTGAGCTCCCGACTGTTAGGGGAGCCCCAGGTTGGACGTTTAAAAAGCATCCAGCATCCGACTAGAGAAGAGTGGGTGTCTGATGTACAGAAGAAGGAACACCTAATTCGGACTGACAAGGTAAGTGGCTTGTCTGGAGACAAGGTTTTGCGCTTTGGAAACTATAGCTGGCGGATCTGCATAGGGAGGAGACTCCGATTTCAGACCTGCCTGGAAGGCAGCTCCGCACTCCCAGAGCCCACAAAGTGGGGAACAGCTCCTGCGTCCCCGCCGGGTCGGCGTCGCCCGCCGTCCTCGGCCGCCGCCTCCACTCTGCGCTGGGACAACAAAGATCCCCAGGCCAGGACGTCCGTGAGTCCCCGCGCCGCCTGTCGGTTACCTCGCAGGCGCTCCCGGCTGAGGTGAGCACGCTGGGGACCCGCTGGGACAGAAGCCTGAGCGCGAGGAGTTACCGGTCGGAGGTGGCAGGTGAACACTCAAGAGAGGGGCGACAGTGCGTGGAGGTCCTGGAGCCCTGATCATTTGGGACCCCCGCTTTGAGAAACGCCGCACCCCCACGGTGTGGCACATAGGGGTGCTGACCAAAAGCCTGCAGTGCATGGAGGAAACTACTACCGTCGCCTCTGCTCTTCCCAGCTCCGCTTCTCCCGGCTCCGCTCCCCACCCTCCACCCTCACCGCAGGCAAGATCAAAACCAAGAACATGAGCTTCGGACGGACCTGGGCCCTCCAACCCCAGAGGCTGGGAGGCTGACGTTGAGTCTTTCGTTCTATGAACCAAACCAGCAGGCCAGCAATGGTCCTGGCCTCAGGTGCCCTACAGTGGCCTGGCACCGGGAGAGGATGGCTCCGGGAGCGAGGTGAGTCAGACTACCAAGGCCCGGTACCAGGCGGGTCAGCAATGCTCTCCCAGCTCACCAGGGCGAGAAGGCGGGTCCTCCGGTGTCCAGATAAAGTGTGAAGTCCCACCACCCCTCTGATCCTTGGTGCTAATTTCTTTGTTCAACGAGGACGGCCGGGAGGCCTGGGTGGGGGGTGTGGTTGGGGGGCACTGAAGTTCTGCCCGTGGAAGCCCGAGCCTGCAACTAAAACGCAACTTTAGCTAAGAGCAGGTAGGATTTAACCCAGGATTTGAGAGGCGATAATCTCGAACTCTAAGAGATCTATACTCCTAGAGCAACCAACTAAGCACTTCCCCTACTCATAACCTCATAACCTGTTTTCCGGAGTCGGCCCCTCTAACGGCGGTTGGCTGGTAGTGCGAGATCCGGAGCTCAAGGAATGCTGCCTGCGTCACTAGGTCCCCCACCCTAGTTGTGCCAGCAGGAGCCTCCCCACAGTGGGTGGCCTATCTTCGCTGAAGACTCCGAAGGGGCCCTGGCTGGTTTGGCTCAATGGTACCAATGAGTCCCGGGTTGGATTCCGGTCAAGGGCACATACCTCAGTTTCGATTGTCCCCAGCCCTGGCTGGTTGGGGTCATGCAGGAGGCAGCCACTTGATGTGTCCCTTTCACGTCGATGTTTCTTTCTTTCTCTCTCTCTTCCTGTCTCTCCCTCCCACTCCATCTGAACAAAAATGAAAAAATGTCCTGGAGTGAGGATTAAAAAAAAAAAAAAAAAACTCAGAAGGAGAAAGAGGGACTCATTTGGAATTTGAACCCAGGACCTCTCTCACCCAAAGCATGAACCAGACCCCCTAGACCAGTGATTTTCAACCGTTGTGCCATGGCTCGCACACTAGTGTGTCACTAGGATTTTTAAAAGGATGCAATACCTGTTTAGGCAGGGGCACTGTCCTTTTTCTCTTAGGTTGTCAAGAAAGAAAAAAGACAACAGCAACAGAACAATAGCCTCCATAGTGAATGAATCAAAACTATTATTTTATATCAGCAAATATATATATATATAGTGTGTGTGTGTGCAGAAGAATATTAGTAATTAGTTTATGTGTGCTATGAGATGAAAAAGGGTGAAAATCGCTGCCCTAGACCAATGAGCCGCCATGCTACACTTGCTTTGCCCGTTTCTTTTTCTTTGTCCTCCTGCAGCTGACAAGGGGAAAACGTACCCAATCAACCTGATAACTCAGTTAGGAAGCGCACCTGTAACTCTGGCTCCCTGGGTTCTGGCCCTCCGATCCCACCTCAGGTGAGCAGCTGAGCTGCTGCAACTCTCTGATATCTGGAAACTACCCACTTATGCCTCCTGCCAGGATGACTTGTCTCTCCCTGGGCTTCCCCAGTGGAGGAAAGAAGAGTCAGTGTCACAGCCGTGGCCCAAGCCAGGCCTCTTCCACACCAGGACCAATCCTCTGTACCCAATAAGCAGCACCTACCCTCCTGGACTGGAGGCCCCTATTTCTTGTGGGGGAGGGGCTGGGGGGCAGGAACAAAGCAGACACTGGAATTTCCAAACTACTAAACATTAGGACCCCTATACGCCTCTACTTGATCAGATCTGGACAGTGTTGCTGAGCAAGAGGTTAGCAGCAAAAAGAGTTTCCGTGGGTGGCTCATTTGTCCAAGGGAGGATTCTCGCTTAGTGTGCAAAGAGGGTCAGATCCTGGAGGGGTACAGTTTTCAGACTTTGTCTTTTAATTGATGATAACCCTTGTGGGACTCCTTTCCCAGAGCCTTTGCTGACAAGGAGCGAGAAAGCCCTGTGGTTGGCCTGAAAGGTCCTTGCCTTGTCCTGGGATTGGGTGGGTGAACTGCTACTCTCCTGGCCCTCCAGAAATGGAAGTTCTTTGAAAGCAGATCTGGATTCAAGGGGCAGACACCTCTAAGAGCTGAAACCCAGTATAGCTTCCTGCGGTGAGCGGGCATCTGCTTTTATTATCCAGACAGTAGCCGATGCGCCGGAGCCCGGTCAGCTTCTCCGCGGACCTCGGACAGGCCTCCGCGCTGCGTGCGCGGTTGAATCGGTTTGAGGTCGGGGGTCGCGGATGCGAAGCCCCGGCGCCCGACATTCGACGTTCGAGGAGTTCTGACGCCTGTGTCTGCTGTAGCATGGTTCTGGGTCCCAGCCCCAAGGGCACCGTGGTGGGACAAAGTGCCCTGGAGCTGGGGTGGGGCCGGGATCTGAAAAGACGGGGGTGGGGGTGGGGTGCTGGTACTCCACGCCTGCGCTGCGCCCTAAACAAAGGAACCAGAACAGCAAAATGCTGGAACGGTTGTCTCTGTGAACGCTGGGCCCCTTGCCCCTTCGGCACCTTGGGCGCCGAGGGACACCTTGAGGTACCAACCAGCTCTGGGCATGAACAGTGTAGAACGGGTGGGGGATAAGGGCGGAGAAAGGAAGCTCGCGCTGGGCAGCGAGCCCAGTGGCCTAACGGAGGAGGCACAGGGCTTACGGGTCCCACTCGAAGTACAGAATGCTTTGGCAGCCTTGTGCTGGGTGGTTTCCGTCGCCAAAGACTGATTGTCAACTACCACTGAAAGCTGCACCTCCTAGGACTCCCATGATTGGGGATGGGGGTTTCTTTACACTCACGAAGGTTAGAAAAGAAAGAAACAGGCTTCCCTGGGTGTTCCCATCAGGAGTGATGCCATCCCCAACCATTAGAATTCCCGACCTCTGAAATGGCCAGAAATTTTACCAAACACTCATGAGCACTTATTACCGGCCACAGTGCAGTGCTAAGCTTTTTTGTATTTTTTTCCAAACAGAACTCATAAATGCTTGTGGTACAAGCTGCTACCGTCCTTTTTAACAGATGATGAAAATAAGACCCAGCTGGCTAAACCTCTCATCCACAACTTGGGGTGGGAGGAATGAGACGCACCCTGTTTCGGTACCTAAACCAGAAGAGAAAGTTTTTACAGTTATGGGCTGAGTGCACATTTGATCCCAGGACCTCTGTTCCCAACAAGGAGAATCATGCCTCTGGCCCAGCTCAGTCCTTTATTGTGGGCCACAAACATGAGCCACATCTGCCATTTAAAAGTGACTAGAAGGCCTGGCCAGTGTGGCTCAGTGGTTGAGCATCGAGCCATCCACCAAGAGGTCGCCGGTTTGATTCCCAGTCAGGGCACATGCCCAGGTTGTGGGCCAAACCTCCAGTGGGGGGCATGCAGGAGGCAGCCGATTGATGTTCTCTCTCATTGATGTTTCTCTCTCCCTTCCTCTCGCTAAAATCAATAAAGATAAATAAACAAACAAACAAATAAATAAATAAATAAATAAATAAATAAATGTGTGTGACTGGTAGTTACCCCACCTGTGTGGCTTAGTGGACTGAGCATCATCCCATGGACTGAAAAGTTCTTGTTGGATTCTTTTTTTTTTTTTGGTGAAAATGTTTATTTCTCACAGGACACTGTTCCCCAGCCCCCCATCAACAAAGGCGCAGTTTTCGGAACTGCTCCCTTCATGAGCCCCACTGCGGCTGGCGGCAGGGCTCTGCTCACACAAAGTTCTGAGCAATGGCCAGCACCTTGGAAAACTCGCCTTCCCTCTGGCGCAGGCTGGTAGGGATGGGTGTCTTAATTCGGGTCCCCACAGGGTTCCCATTGTCCTCAATGAGGACCCCGTTATTGGAGTCAAACCTAGGGGTCATGCGAGGACCGGGCATGCGATGGCCCACAATGAGCGCCTTTTTCTTCTGTCCCTTGATGGCCAGCAGTATCCGGTCACCCACCTTGCCCACCCCACTCTTGTTATAGACGTGGATGCAACGAGGAGGGCGGTGGTATGGGGTGTTGCCCAGGGCACTGTTGTCCACCACACGCACCCGCGTCATCTTCTGAATTGCTCTGAGGGTCCCGCTGGTGCTTAAACAGCGCTGGCTGAGTGCTCTGCTCACGTGGGTGAAAGGACCCCACAGCCCAGGAAAGAAAGCCATGGAATCCCCAGAGGGCAAACCCGCTCTTGCCGCCCGGGAATATCCCGCCGCGGGCCCCACCGGCCAAGCGCCGCCTCCCCTTGCACCCCACGCGGCCTTTGTTGGATTCTTTGTCAGGGCACATGCCCAGGTTGCCAGCTCGATCCCCAGTAAGGGGCATGCAGGAGGCGGCCAATCAATGTTTCTATCTCTCTCTCTCAAAAAAATCAATAAAAACATATATATATATATAGTTTATATATATAGTCTAGTAGCACATTAAAAAAGAAACAGGTAAAATTAATTGTGATAATGTATTTTACTTAATCCAATATATCCAAGATAGTCCAAGACAGGCTATCTTACTATTTTTGTATCAAGTCTTCAAAATTCCACGTATATTTTACTCTTATAGCAGTCGGACCAGTCATATTTCAAGAGCTCAAGAGCTACATGTGGCTTGTGGCTACTGTATTGGAGAGCGCAGCCCTAGGTCAGAGAATCACACAGACTTTTGCTTGTTCACCTTCAGCTGTGACTTGGAGCTTCTGATTTTCCTCCATCTAAAAGTAAGGGAAAACAGGGACCCACAACTTGGGCTCAGACAGGGACTTAAACCCAGGATCTCTCACACTCAAAGCAAGAATCATAACCCTAGAGCAAGGAGCCTCCCACTTGAGTTGCCAAGGTCTCCCTGTGCTAGGCACTGGGCCTGCCGGCTGGGATTAGGGACTCAACCCTCTTTGAAATGAACCCAAGTTATGGGAAGATGGGAACAGTTGTGGGAAAAGCCCTGGGACTGGGTCTCCTGGGAGAGAGATGTTCTGGTGCTAAAAGCAGGGGGTAGGGGTTCCTTCTCCCAGTCTAGAGATGAGCAGACAGACCCTCTTGGGTGCCAAAACTCGTTCCCTTTCCCCATGGACTCTGGTTCTAGGACCCTGAGTGTGAGCTAGTGTGTCTGTTCTAGCCCCATAGCCACTGCCCTTACCCTATCTCTCCACCTCATTATTGGAGTCTTGAAAAACCCAGAGCCTTGTCCTGGGTCCCAGCGGGGAAGGAAGGTCTTGCTGGCAGGATCTCCTCTGTCTATGATTTTCACACAAGGCAACCTTCAAGATTGATTCCCTGCTTGTGAGAGAATGAGGAGAGGGCAGGGTGTGAAACCTTACCTTTTGAATCTCTAGGGAATCTTCAGGGGAAGCCCAGGGTCAGGAGGCAGAGGACCTTACTTCTCTTTATTTAATTCACATTTGCACTCCCTCCGGAAAGGTTCAGAGAATTAGATCCAAGGGCCACCTCTAACCCAGGAGTCCTGACAACTGGGCAGCCCCAGTTTCCTCAAAATAGTTTGGAAACATGCCCATCCATTGGGGTGGGAAGGCATCTGAGTGAGCTGTGTAAGATTACTCATCTGGGCCTCTTTTTTTCAGTCCTCACCAGAGGATACTTTTTTTTTCATTTTTATCTTCAGATAGAGTTAGAGAGAGAGAGAGAAGAGAGGGGGGGGGGAGAAAGAGAGAGAGACATTGATTGGTTGCTTTCCATATGAGGCAACCCCAACCAGGGTGAGGAACTAAACCCAACCAAGGCACGTGCCCTTGACCAGAATTGAACCAACGACTCTTTGGTCCGAGGGCTGACGCTCTACCACTGAGTCAAACCGGCCAGGGCTATCTGGGCCTCTCTAGATCACAGGAAACAACATAAAATCCCAAAAGGCAAATAAATAAATGCAACTTGGAACCTAAACCCCTTGCCCACCTCACCTCACCCTGTCAGAGGCCACCCAGCCCTCTTGAGGAGGGAGGCCACTCTCCTTTACCACGGCTCCACGTGCTGCCTGGAGCACAGAGGCCTGTAATCCTACACAGGAAGTAGTAAGTAGTAATGGTCGAGGGGAACCTGGTTCGAGTGAATCCTGCTCACAGTCTCTCCCGCAATACGGGACTTGAACCCATGACCCTGAGATTAAAAGTCCACACTATAACGACTGAGTTAGCTGGAGGCTCTTTCCACTTCGTTCAATGGGAGAAGGAAGTAATCCTGAGGCACAATAAACCCCACCCCCTCGCCTACGCCACCCCACCCCTGGCCCATGCTGTTCCCAGCTTGGCTCCCCTGTTCCTCCCTGAAACTGTCTGGGAGCCTCAGAATTGAAAGCTGTGGGGTAGGAGAGAGCCTGGTCTAAAATTCAGGGACAGGGGTTGAGGGGGGGGCATGGCATGCTGACCCAAAGACATAGACCCAGGTGTCCAATCATGCTAGGAGCCCAGTAGTCCTTAATGGCACCAACACCCACCCACCCCACCCCCAACACTACACTCAGCCCTGGACAGGCACGCAGAGGACAGTAGTGTTAAACTGCTTTCTTCCCTCCAATTTCTGGGATCCAAACTGAAGCTCCCCCCTAGCCATCCCTACCTCTTGCAGATGGGACGGCAGGGTCACAGGAGTCAAGGCTACAAGAGATAGGTGGAACAAGGCATCCTTCTCTGTAGTGGGCCCCAGGCAATGAGTCCCCCTGGGCCTGCAGGTGTCCCTGGGTCCAAATCCCTGACGAGTCTCACTTTAAAACTCTCAACTTCTTCCCTCTGCTCCACACCTCGAATACCCCACCCTCACTCACTCCTATCCTGCTTTAGGGTAGGCATCAAGGTGTGATGGAAAAAGATGCAGGACCCTGTACCCCGGGGGGTTTCTGCCAGAGGCACCTTCTTCCTTTCCAGTAGGTTTCTGTAACCTTCAATAGGTCACAAGGGAAGACAAGCGTGACACCCTGGGACCTGTTAGTCCAGCCCAGGGATGTCCCTGCAGGGGAAGGACTGCTGGGGCTAAGGAAAGGGACTTCGAGGGACCCAGAGCTATGCAGGGACTTTGTGCAAAGAACCCAGTGGAGGGTGGGCTTGGCTGAGGACAGGAGTCCCTGGATCTGCCCAGACCCTAGTCCCCTTGCTGTAGAGGGCTTTGAGGCTTGAAGGGAGGGGAGGTTGGTGCAGGACCTGGGCTGGATGGTTGGGAGGTCAGGAATGCCTTAGTTCCAGGTTTGGGTCCCACAGGGAACTCCCACGTGGTCCTGGAGCTGCAAGCAAGTCAGTGGCAACCCAACTACCCTCCCTCAGCCTGGGCAAGAGGGAAGTCCCGGTGGCAGATGGGAAGAGGGTGGCTGGAACAGATCCTGAACTTTGGGACCTGCAGCACTGAACCTCATCCGTATTTGGAAGCTGAGCCCAATCCTCCCACCATGTACCTCTTCCCTCGAGGCAGGCAGCTGGAACATTGCCTCACCTGAGTGAGGGGGAGGAAGTAGACAGAATCAAGGACACCAATGAAAGTTTGGTTTGCTGGTGTAGGGGTGTGATTTGCTTTGGAAGCAAGTGCTCCCAGGTTCAAGTTCTAAATGAGCTCTGTAATACAGCTACTTTCTTCTCAGGATGGCCAGTTTGCTACAACCCCAAAGAGCCAAGTTCCACTCAGGGTTGGCCTGGGACCGTGCTCACTTCTGCTTGGCCAAATGTTGCCAGCACTTTGGCATGGGGTGGAGCAGGGACATGTGGTGTTTCCCTGAACAGCAGATCCCAGTGTTCTAGGGCAGAGGGAAGCAGTCGGGTGCCCAGCCTTCAGACAAGACCTAGTTGGTACTCCAAATCCCAGCGATGAGGGCACACCTTTCCCTGGCCAATCCCTGTCTCACCCACAAAGGGAAATCCAGACTGCAGCAGGCAAGTGAGGGAGAGCTGCACTTAGAGTCACCAAGGACCACAAGCCAAAGGGACTCTTTTGCCCACCGATATTTTTATTGCTTTAGATAAGAGAGGTCCTGAATTCAATTCCAAGAGGCCTCCTGTTCTGAAGCAGGCAGTGTGGGGCCTGGCTGTGATGTTTGGGGGAACAAACAGGGAGGGACACTTCCATCAGGCCAGCGGTCTCAAGCCCTTAGTGTTGGGGATAGCTAAGAGATTAGATTTGCTAGATCAGGGTGCTACTCAGACACAGACAGGGCCCTCTAGGTGGGACTGGGCTCAGGGCACAGCCACCTCCAGAACAATCCCCCCAATATCCCTCCCAAGGAGCCACCAGCAGGAGCTCCCTCTGATACTAGCTATTTCTATTCATAAGCACATGACTCCTATACTCAGGGTGATGTTTTGGATCTAGTTTTGTGGTTCCAAAATTGTATATGAAGTCACCTTCATAGTATTTAAAATTTTTCAGGGATATTTTTTTTTCATACTTACCTCAAGTTATGTTCCATTGATTTCAGAAAGAGGAAAGGGGGAGAAAGAGAGAGAGAGAGAGAGAGAGAGAGAGAGAGAGAGAGAGAGAGAGAGAGAGAGAAACATTGACCAGTTGCCTTCTGCATGCACCCTGACCAGGGATCAAACCTGCAACCTTGGTATGTGCCCTGACCGGAAATCAAATCCATGACTCCTCAGTGTATGAGATGATACTCCAACAAACGAAGCCACACTGGTCAGGGCTTTTCAGGGATATTTTAAAATTTTGAGAAAAACAGCAATTCTCAACATCTATCAGACATCATACTCTGTGAACTACTAACTCAAGACAGTTCAGTTTCCATTTTTGATGATGCTATATTTTTGCAAAGCTGGGTTTTCTTTGGCTTCTGTGATTAAAGCAAGCAGTGCAGGAAAATCAATGTGGAATAGGAACTGAGAGGGGCAATGTCCAATTTGATTCTAAGGTTGGAGAAGCTGTACAGGACCCAAGTGCACAACTCCCATTAGAAAATAATTATGGTTATTTAAAAGAAATATAAAAACATTATTTTTTCCAGAAAGGTACTGTACTGGGTTAGAAGTGTCCTTCTAACACTTCTGGCCACCCAGAACCTCAGAAGGTAGGATCTTTGCACATGTAATTAGTTAAGGTGAAGTCATAATGGAGGAGGATGGGCCCTAATCCAATAACTAGTGTCTTTATAAAAAGATTATATGAAGACACAGAGGCTCATGGAGGGAAGAAGGCCATGTGATCATAGAGCCTTCGACTGGAGTGATGGGTCTACAAGCCAAAATTGCTGGGAGCCACCAGAAGCCAAAAGGCAAGGAAGGATTCTTCTCCAGACCCTTTAAAGAAGAGAGTGGTTGCCCTGGTCAGTTTGGCTCAGCGGTTAGAGCATCAGCCCTCGGACTGGAGTGTCCCAGGTTCAGTTCCCGCTAAGGGCATGTACCTCGGTTGCAGTTTGTCCCCGGCCCCGGGTGGAATCATTTGGGTGGCAACCACTCGATGTGTCTCTCTCACATAGATGTTTCTCTCTCTTTCTCCCTCTCTCCCTCCTGCTCCTTCTGAAGATAAATGTAAAAATGTCCTCTGGTGAGGATAAAAAATAAAATAAAAAAAAGAAGAGGGTAGTTGGTCCATGGGCCTCCTTCTCATCTTAGGTATGAGAAAGCCCAGTGATGTCTAGACTTGAACTCTTGAATATTTTCAGGCGTGGCCTGGGATGTACAGGGAAGAGCAGGCAGGATACCCTCTGTAGAGCCCTGGGGAGGTCAGTGCCTCCAGGGCTAGAAGAGGTGCAGGCTGCAGATGAGGACACCAGTTCAGGAACAGAGGATCCTGAGGGAGAGCCAGGAAAGTCCCAGGCCACTCTGTGGTAACCAGTGCACCTACCCTTAAACCTCAATGAGACCCACATTTCAAATCCAAATTAGCCGCCAGGTGGAGCCAACTAGCAGCATGCAAGGGCTCCGGTGGACAGAGGAATTTGGGAATCTTGGCTCTACCCTGCGCCTTGAGCAATAGAGAACTGAAAAGGACCCGCAAGTTCAGCTGCAGTGGAGGCCTTGGTTTGCAGGGCATGGAGAGGCCAGCCAAGCCAAGAACTAGGGGAGGCAGGACAGAGTTCTGGACCCCCAGAGCTGCAGCTGGTGCCAGGTCTGAAAACACTGAACCATCCTACCCTTCAGAGCTGTGAGCTGAAATTACTCCAGCCTCCTGCAGGGCCATTTGGGAGTGGAAAAGGCCGACGCTCTGGTGGGAAAGGGAAATGGGCAGATACAGGACAAGTTTAGGTGTGTGATTCAAACCTCAGGTGCTAGAGGTCTCAGGTTTGAGTCCCACCCTTCCTATCCCTTTCTGCAGTATCAGCCTGCGATACCTCACCCTCTGCATCTCCTGCACCAACCCTCTGGGCTGATAACTCCAGGGCCCTGGTCCAGGAAGCCCCCCAACTATGTTCAGGGTGAACCAGTGGCCTTACGCTACTTATTTTTTATTTTTTATTTTTTAACTTATCTTTATTGTTGAATGTATTACAGATATCCCCCCTTTTCCCCCATTGACCTCCCTCCTCCCCAATCCCACCCCCCTCCTCCCTTCCCCACACTATTGTCAGTGTCCATTGGTTATGCATATACTTACGCTATTTCTTATTGTTAATAATGACCAGTGCGGTGTTGAGATGCCCTAAGCATACACTTCGCAAAACAGACCCCTCCATTTTGATCTCAGTTTCTCCTCCCCTTCCCTTTCCCTTCCTGGGGTCTGAGCAGAAACTTCAGGGCTACTACAGCCTGTGGCCCAGTGCCCTAGCCGGAGCCCCCATGTTCCGCCCTGCATTAGTCTGGCCTTTGATGATGGACGTCGACGTTGCCCCAGTCTTCTCTTTGTCCACGTGGAGTAAGAGGCAACCATTCTCCCCCAGCCAGAAGATGTCAGTGGAGGCCTAGTGGGGATATCATCTCCACAGCAGTAAAGGAGGTCCCATCCGGTGTAAATTACTTTATCAGCGGGGCGT